GGCATACCCAGGAGATGGCAGGATGAAAGCGATTAGACGCCCCGACCAATACTTACGTTTGCGCGGTGACATATGGCATTATGTGCGGCGCGTGCCCAAGGCCGTCAGCCATATTGACGACCGAACTTTGATATATCGCTCACTCGAAACAGATAGCCGCAAGGTCGCACGGCAACGGCGAGACATATTCGCTTATGAAGATGAACTGCGATGGAGCGAGGCCGCACCGAGCCGTTTCAAAGCAACCCCGCGAGAAGTTACCTATCGCGACGTGAGCCACTACGCCCGCTCACTAGGGTTTAACTATGAGCCGATGGAGAGCCTAATCTCGCGCGATACGGTCACGGATTTGCTGCACCGTTTGCAGACTTTAGAGCCGCTAAAAGACGCCCCGCAGGCAAAAGAAGAACGGGACGCAGACGCCCTACTCGGCATTGCCAAGACGCCGACAACGACCATTACGCAAGCGATGGAACTTTACCTCTCCGAGATCGTCGCAGACGAACTGGCGGGGAAATCACCGGAGCAAGTGAAGAACTTTTCCAAAATCAAACGCCGCGCCGTGGCGAACTTCGTCAACATAAACGGCGATATAGATATGCGGGATATTACCCGCGAACACGCCCATGCCGTGCGTAAATTTTGGCATGAGCGCATCCATCCGCAAGACGGCAGCAAGCCTATGAGCGGGAGCAGCGGTAACAAAGACTTGGGCAGTTTGCGCAAGTTATACCGCCGCTATTTTGAGCACATAGGCGAAGAGGAACGCGAAAACCCGTTCCGCAATATGCGGTTCAAAGACAAAATTCTAACGAAGGTTATGCCCTTTAAGGACGATTGGGTAAGGTCACGCATCCTCGCGCCAGACGTATTAGATGGTCTTAATCGACAAGGCGCATTGCTTTGTATGGCTTTGATTGAGACAGGATGCCGGCCGAGCGAGTTAGCCAATATTAGGCCAGAGAACATACTATTAGACGCCGAGGTGCCGCATATGCGCATCCGACCAACGAAAGACCGAGAGCTAAAATCGGGTGCATCCGTCCGCGATATTCCGCTTGTCGGAGTCGCGCTAGAAGCTATGCGGCAAGCCCCGAACGGCTTTCCTCACTATCAGGACAGAAGTTATTTATTGAGCGCGTCACTTACAAAAGCGTTCAAAGCGAGAGAATTATTCCCAACAAACCAGCACCGCATCTATAGCTTTAGGCACAGCTTTGAGAACAGAATGCTTGAGGCAGGATTGGACTTTGGTTTGCGCTGCACATTGATGGGTCACCGTAACCCGCGCCCTGAATATGGCGATGGAGGGTCACTCGTCTATCGCCGTGATGAACTCTTGAAAATAGCCCACCCCGTGAGTGACGCGCTATTGCAAAGCTATCCGTTCAAGGTCTAAGTTTATCGGTTTATGCAGCTTTGTCTGCATCCGATAGGAGCGAAGCAAGCAGCGCCTCACGGTCATCCAGCGCGTCATATTCTTGTTTCAGGCGGTCTAAAACTGGCCAATATTTTGGCCCGTACCGCTGAACAAGCTGCGCCGCGATAGTCATGCCGCGCTTAATGTCAGCACGCGACGGGGTTTCTATTGGGGCGTTTGAAGATATGTTTTGGGCTTTATCCACGTATGGATTATAACTTAACTGCCCCGAATTTTACGAAGAAAAGAGTTGGGTAATTGAAGGGTAGCGGGTCAGAATAGGTATTAAATACTGATAATGGCACACGACTAATTGAACTCACAGGCGGTTTTAGGACGCTTGGATTTTGTAGAAACATCTTCATTGCAGACATTTGCCATAACAATGTATATGCCTATGAATGACACTCGCTAATATTCTCATCACCGGCGCTAATTCTGGACTTGGTTTCGAAGCGGCAAGACAGTTTGCTCTTAGTGATAGGGTCTCGAAAATTATCCTGGCCTGCCGGAATCAAACGCGCGCTGAAGAAGCCCTTCAGAACCTTGAAACACTAACGGGTAAAAAAATCTTTGACATATTGATTGTAGATGTGGGCGATCTGGACTCCTGCCATAAAGCGGCCGAAAACCTGGACACTATAGTCGACGGCGTCATTCTGAACGCCGGTGGTGGTGGTGGCACAGAACCCACAAAAATCACTCAAGACGGTGTCATGCATATATTCGGGATTAATGTGTTGGGCCATGTCCTCTTTACCGATTTGATTCTCGAAAATCGTAAACTGTCCGAAAGTGGAACGGTCATGTATGTCGCCAGTTTTGCCGCGAGAGGTGCGCCCGAGGTTCGTGCTGCAAAGCCGCCTATCACGTCTGGCTCCGTTGAAGAATGGACTTCTGTGGCTAACGGCACAAAATTTGACGAAAGCTCTTCTTACACAGACATATATGGAGCCACAAAACTGATGGGAGCTTTGTGGACTATGAGCATGGCGCGAAAACATCCGAAGAAGAGATTCATGACTATCGACCCCGGTATGGCCCGTGGCACGTCTGGGACAAAATCTCTCCCGTTCTTTCAAAGGCTGACGATGGAAACTGCCATGTGGGTCATGCAAAAACTCGGCAGAGCCCATTCGGTTGATGTAGGTGCCAAGCGCTACGTGGATGTGATGTTGAACAGAGACGATTTTACATCCGGTGTTTGGTGGGGGAGTAAGAAAGGACTAACGGGAAAGTTGGCCAACCAAGTGGAGCACTGGCCGGAAATTATTGGTAGTGAGGCTGCGCAAGATAACGCGAATACCGTTGTTCATAAGTTCCTCTAACGACCGCTAAGCCCCCATTTGAGAACAAGCGCGAGAGGTCTATTTAGGGCATTTTAGGACGCCGCCTTAACGCCCGCTCTATACTTGAAATACGCACTCTCTCCTAATTCCTTCGCCACTTTGCGGCGAGTCCAACGCCCCTGCCTCCGCTCGTGTGGGCGGCTCCGGCAGGCCCGTTGGACGGCACTATTTTGAGAGAGCGTAATTAATTAGATAGGATTGACGACTGGGGAGAGATTAGGAAAGAAAAGAGCTTTAGCAAGATAAAGCGAACCGCCCTTTTGGGGGCACTTTGACGCTAAAGCTCTGTTTTTTCTACGCGAGTTGGGGTGTCACCATTTTGGCAACTCATGTGTCGTGCCTCCAAAGTAGCCCTATCCCGCAAACCCCCAGAAACTCCCTTTTCACTTTAATTTCCAATCGGCTTCTTTCGAGACAAAAGCCTCTATTTTGCCTGATTATGGGGCATGTCAGATGAAGATGATTTTCGGTTAGAAGCCAAAGCCCGCAAATCCAGCTGCCGAGGTTCGGAGGTCAATATCCCTGCCAGCTATAAGGGGTTTTTCCAAGACGCCCGCATTACGCTTGTGAGAGGAAAGGCCGTCTCTGGGCGGCGCACATTGAAGAAACCCGCCATACCCCGCACAGGCCGCTTCATCACAAGGGGCCGAGGTCGTGCGGCGTTGGAGCGGGGCATTGGGCCAAAACAAGGCTGGCGCATCCATAAGGCTAAGGGTGACCGCTACGGCCCCCATGCGATGATTGAGACGCGGCGCGCCTTCTATCTCGTGCCGTGGGAGAGCACTCACGCGCAAAAGTGGGGTAAGCGCGTCAGAGGTCGCGTGCTAAGCGGCGGCGGCATTGATTGGGATTCTGGACGCACTAGAGGAATTGGAAGGTGACTTCAGCAAAGGGGGCAAACCGGTCCTTAGCGAGTGCCCTAAATGGGGCACCTGTAGGATGTTAAGAAAGGAACGAATTCACTAGCAAAGTTCTATAAATATTGTGGCTCATATTGTGAAATTGTAGGCATAAGATATACAGACACATATATGAATCAGAAATTTGATGTTCGACTTACAGATCAGCCTGTGACATTGCAGTCAGTTTTTGTAGTGAGAGGTCACGATTCAAATAATAAGGCCGACGCTACCCTTCTTGAGACAGAGAAGCGCATAGGGTTCGCTTTGCCTGAAGGTTTGAAAGACTTATATCGGATTCAGAATGGGGGTCAGATTAACAATCTATGTATCCCCACCCAAACCGGCACAGAGTTTCTTTATAATGACGTTTGTTTCCCTTTTGGGGGTTATAACGACTTGATCCCTTTGGAACGGTTGACAACACTCAAAGAGATTGTTGAGGGGTACGCATCGGCAGATGACCCGGAACAAGCCTACGAATTTCCTTG